TGTTATATCTAGAGCTTTGATTCTTGCTATGCCGCGTACTACTAGACTATTTGAACGATCGAACCCGCAACGTCGCAAGAGAGAAGACAGAAGACTAGTAAGTAGGAATTTTATTCCCCAAACTGTCAAAATATAGTACAAAAATCTCATGTATTTATAGTTTTTTTGGCTGAAAGTAAATCATCATTTCAGACAGCTAATAGGCACATAGGGGGTCATTCTTATCCCTTCAATAGGGAAGCTACATGTCGACGTTCTAGAATGTTCCCCTAGTGGTGATTGTATGGAATGTCTCCAGCTCTTTCTGGGCTTCTTGAAGCTTCCTAGAGTTTGCCAACGAGCCATCCTTATACATTTATTTAATACTAAAACTAAATAAGTAACATTAGAAAAACTCGATCAATAATATTTTCATAATATTCCAGCATAAATAATTTGGACAATTACTAGATCATAAGATAGTTGACATTTGGTAGACATCATATACTGAAGGTCAATATTTGTGAGAATTGTCCTTGAACCCTATCAAGTAGTTCGAACTTCAACGATCTATGCATAGACTTCAATGGTAGTAAAAGAATATGAAAAAATTTGATTTATTTGATCCTGCCAGAATGTCATTTGATGTAGGTTTTTTTTAAATTTCACCAACTGATCTTGTTTTGAAATCAAAGTCGAATAAATAATCGAGTAATTATTAGTTGCTATGCGACTATGTCTGAAGTTAGATTGAGACTTACCAAGACAATTAAAAAAGAAAGTACGTTTTACACTATAGTCTGTATAAGTAAATAGATAGATAGATAGATAGATAGATAGATAGATAGATAGATAGATAGATAGATAGATAGATAGATAGATAGATAGATAGATAGATAGATAGATAGATAGATAGATAGATAGATAGATAGATAGATAGATAGATAGATAGATAGATAGATAGATAGATAGATAGATAGATAGATAGATAGATAGATAGATAGATAGATAGATAGATAGATAGATAGATAGATAGATAGATAGATAGATAGATAGATAGATAGATAGATAGATAGATAGATAGATAGATAGATAGATAGATAGATAGATAGATAGATAGATAGATAGATAGATAGATAGATAGATAGATAGATAGATAGATAGATAGATAGATAGATAGATAGATAGATAGATAGATAGATAGATAGATAGATAGATAGATAGATAGATAGATAGATAGATAGATAGATAGATAGATAGATAGATAGATAGATAGATAGATAGATAGATAGATAGATAGATAGATAGATAGATAGATAGATAGATAGATAGATAGATAGATAGATAGATAGATAGATAGATAGATAGATAGATAGATAGATAGATAGATAGATAGATAGATAGATAGATAGATAGATAGATAGATAGATAGATAGATAGATAGATAGATAGATAGATAGATAGATAGATAGATAGATAGATAGATAGATAGATAGATAGATAGATAGATAGATAGATAGATAGATAGATAGATAGATAGATAGATAGATAGATAGATAGATAGATAGATAGATAGATAGATAGATAGATAGATAGATAGATAGATAGATAGATAGATAGATAGATAGATAGATAGATAGATAGATAGATAGATAGATAGATAGATAGATAGATAGATAGATAGATAGATAGATAGATAGATAGATAGATAGATAGATAGATAGATAGATAGATAGATAGATAGATAGATAGATAGATAGATAGATAGATAGATAGATAGATAGATAGATAGATAGATAGATAGATAGATAGATAGATAGATAGATAGATAGATAGATAGATAGATAGATAGATAGATAGATAGATAGATAGATAGATAGATAGATAGATAGATAGATAGATAGATAGATAGATAGATAGATAGATAGATAGAAAATAGAGAGGGACAGAAACCTGCTTGTATACTTTATTCTGTGGATCATTGTCATAAAAGGAAGACAACAATATGTATCAAAAGTACTTAATCATTTTTGTAGGCATAGTAAAACATGGACAAAAACTAACATTCTTTTAACTAGGATACAAAGTATGTTTATCTACCATCCGGGAAAGAAATACCTCGAAGTGTTATTGTTTCTAATATATATATATATATATACATATAAGGGTAGAGTTTCTTATTGCTGTCATGTGTTCTTTGTTTAATCCTGAATAGTGAGGCCTGGAAATACAACAGTGAATTAGCCTGGTCATCTGTAACAAAGTTTCAAGTAACTTATTAATTGTTTTTTTGTTGTTGTTGGTATATTTGGTTTATATTCAATGTGACCGGATATTTCACACAATGGAACACAAGTTAGTTAAAAATGAGTTAGGAAAATGTTAAATGAATTCTAAGTATTGAAGTTATTTTAAAATAAATCATTTCGTCACTGATGATTATTTATCTAATCGTTCAGTCAGTCACGACGTAGAACTTTGAACATACGTGCATTAGTTCGAGTTACTTAATTACATACTTACTTACGCCTGTTACCCCTCGTCGAGGAGCATAGGCCGCACACCAGTATTCTCTATCCAACACTGTCATGGGCAATCATTTACAGTTCTTCACAGTTAACATTCATCCTTTTCATATCTACTTCTATTTCCCGACATAATGTGTTCTTTGACCTTCCTCTTTTCCACTTCCCTTCACCATTCCAAGTTAGGGATTGCCTCATGATACAGTTTGGTGATTTCCTTAATGTATATTATATCCACTTACAACGTCTTTTCCTCATTTCCTCTTCAAATGGAAGCTGGTTTGTCATCTCCCACAGTGGGCTGTTGCTGATAATATCCGGTCAGTGAATGTTGAGTATTTTGCGTAGACAACAACTATTTATAAATACTTGAACCTTCTTGACGATGGATGTAGTAGTTCTCCACGTTTCAGCTTCGTACAGTGGGACTGTCTTGACGTTTGTATTCAAGATTCTCGCGCGATACGAGGGCTATGTCATCTGCGAAGTCCAAATATTCTAATTGATTCTGATATGTCCATTGTATTCCGTGCATCCCTTCAGATGACAAGGTTTTCATAATCCAGTCAATCACCAGAAGAAAGAGGAAGGCGGAGAGTAGGACTGTCTTGACGTTCGTATTAAAGATTCTCACTTTGAAGTTAGTTGACAATTGTTTTGAGTTGCATATGTTCTTCAATTGTAGAAATGTGGTCCTTGCTTTTGATTTAATGTAAGTGAATGCTATATCTAATAGCCTTGTCGATTATATTATGACTTTGTTTTATAAATGAATGTACTGAGCTATTAATAGATAGCTCATTTCATAAATGTCCAAAATCTCCTCTATCAGTTGTCATGGTAGAATGACATTCATGTTTAGATTGATGAAAATCTTATAAATAATCTTAATGAAGTTATAATAAATATATATTTATGGTATTGCAACTCTCACACTTCCTCTTTCTTCTAGTGATTGAACGTATTATGAAGACTTTGACATCTGACGGGAAGCACGGAATACAATGGACATCTCGGAATCAATTAGACGATTTGGACTTCGCATATGACCTAGCCCTCCTATCTCATACACACGAACAAATAAAGATGAGGACAACAAATGTACCAGCAGCATCTACATCAATAGGCCTCAATATATGCAAAGGAAAAAGCAAGATTCTCAAATACAACATGGAGAACACCAATCCAATAACACTTGATGGAGAAACTCTGGAGGAGGTGGAAACATTTACGTACCTGGGAAGCATCATTTTTTTATAAACAAGGAGGATCTTACGCAGATGTAAAGGCTAGGATTGGCAAAGCAAGGATCACATTCCTACAATTGAAGAACATATGCAACTCAAAACAACACTCAACTAACTTCAAAGTGAGAATCTTTAATACGAACGTCAAGACAGTCCCACTGTACGAAGCTGAAACGTGGAGAACTACTACATCCATCGTCAAGAAGGTTCAAGTATTTATAAATAGTTGTTGTCTACGCAAAATACTCAACATTCACTGACCGGATATTATCAGCAACAGCCCACTGTGGGAGATGACAAACCAGCTTCCATTTGAAGAGGAAATGAGGAAAAGACGTTGTAAGTGGATATAATATACATTAAGGAAATCACCAAACTGTATCATGAGGCAATCCCTAACTTGGAATGGTGAAGGGAAGTGGAAAAGAGGAAGGTCAAAGAACACATTATGTCGGGAAATAGAAGTAGATATGAAAAGGATGAATGTTAACTGTGAAGAACTGTAAATGATTGCCCATGACAGTGTTGGATAGAGAATACTGGTGTGCGGCCTATGCTCCTCGACGAGGGGTAACAGGCGTAAGTAAGTACAGTAAATTATTTCATTCTGGTCAAGATAGCACTATTTCATATCTCATTAATGAACAATATTCAATCTATTTATCAATCTGACTTGACCTCAGATAAAAAGAGGAGACTAGGCTAATTCATTGTTGTATTTCCAGGCCTCACTATTCAGGATTTATCAAAGAACACATACCTATTCAATTCAGGATAAAGAATTGATGTAATGGTAGCTTTTACATTTACCTATCAGATTTTAACCTGTCGAAACTTTAATATTTCAGCTTTCACACACAGTGGAAGCCAAAATAATTTACAAAAATAAATCTTTATATCCTAAATATATTGGTACAATTTTTTCATAGTTGAAATCATTAGTCAATTGAAGCTAGACCACCATGGAAAACCTAAAAGCAATGGACGGCCAACTCGTCCCATTATGAGACTCCTCAGCAGTGAGCATCCACGATTCCGCACCCGCGAGATTTAAATCCAGGACCTACCATCTCCGTGCACACATTTTTATTCACTTTTATCAGTGGCTTAAACATATTTTTTTCTCAAAAGTTACACCTAAATTTTTTATTACTACAATCAGTTCTCATCACTAAATGATCCATGTTTTGATTAACATAGTATAACAGTAAGATAGAAACGACCTTCAATTTAAAATTATCGATTGATTGATTAATTAATTAATTAATTAATCGGATCAATATCTTTAATTGGGCAGTTACAACTAACTGAAAGCTATTTGAGTCAAGAATATTTCTACACATCTCCATCGGGAGATTTACTTCAATGGCAATTACAACCGTCTAATCAAACTGTTCATTGCACATCCACTATATTATTGATAACACGATGAATTGATTCATAACCTTTAGATTAATATAGATTATACATAATATATGGTTGATATGACGCCATGATGAAGAATTAATCATGAAAATAGTGCACTGTTCTTTCAGATTCACGTATTCAACTTTCTAAAAGATTATTCATCATTCTCATCCCCCCTTATTATACATCACATCCAATCAAAAGTCTTCATTAATCAATACTAATGGAGAAATAGAAATTAATTTAACCAATCAAAATGCTCGATTCATTAATTATTCAAATCATATACTTTTTATAGGAATTATTTAATTCACCACCCCCTCTATTGTTTATATTGTATAAGAATATAAATAAAAACACCTAATACTATAACAAGTTACCATTCCTATTTTAATGCGTACATCTGGCAGGGTTCAGTTATCTACCATGGATATTAATAATAATCAAGTTACTAATACATTACAATTAACTATTAAAGATTATGCATATCGTTTAAGAATTGGTATAAAAGAAGATTGGAAAATTAAATTATTTCGTGAATATTATCCACGTCGTTTTCATGAATTATGTATGATACATTTATCATTTTTAATTGATATACCATGGAATTTTATTGATCAAAAAATATATTTCCATAGTAACAATGATCATACATTATATTCTTCTAATACTATAACAACTAATGTATGTAATACAATGAAAGATACTAAATCTACATTAATGAATACTACAAATATTGGTGGAACTACAACAAAATCAAGACTTAAACGATTATGGAATAATTGGCGTATTAATTCACGTAAGTAGTATTTGAATTTTATGTTTTATATGTGAATGGTTAGAGACTGAATGACGAAGATCAGAATGGATTACAGTTATAAATGTATCTTAGATTTTCTGTATCCTATAAATTCCCTCCTGAATTATGTCTTGTATATCAAATGTGTTAATTTTATGTACACGAGTTGAGGGATTTGTCTTGATAAATTGAACCGATGTACACATGTACCAGGTTTCAGGCTACGTATAACTGACTAACCTGTTTGAATAAATGAATGATTTCCTATATTTATGCCAATTTCGTTCTTTGAATCTGGAACATCATTAGTCCAATGAATTTCTGTTCATCTGGCGTATACTACACCATACAAAAACAAATGAAGTGTTATATACCTCATTCATGAGTACACTACTTGTCCATAATTAGTAAACTATATGTTAGAATGTGATATAATTGAATAAAACATTGCAAACGGATCATGAGATTGTAGAAACTGTATTTCAGTTTTTGTATGATCTTATTGTTGGATCTCTAAACTTCATTATTTGTAATCACATGATGAAGAATGTAGTGGAATTCTTCCATGCTTATCCATTCTATCGGTCTCCTTAAACGATTTATGATAATTCTATTGGACTATTCAACATCTAGTTAAGTGATGAAATTTCTTTGATATTTCTATGAAACTCATGTTAACATTATCAATTAAGTAAACTCATGAATATTGAAATTAATATTAATCAATGATAGAATAGTTTGACAAAAATTGGGCACCAAGTATGTGTAAACACTTTTTATCTATCCTTTAGCCTTCAGATTAATATTGCTTCATATCTGTCTTTCTACCTGTACTTTATCCTTATATATAATCATTCTTTTATGTCTTACCATCATTAAATTAACTACTATGTATTTGGTGTTGATGTTGTTGTGCTAATGAGATATGTCAATTTGAACCGATACAAATATATGCCTGGTCCTACTTTGTAACTGACTGATGTGTGAAAATTGTATTTGAAATCATCTCAGTGAGTGAAGCAGTTCAAACAAGTTTACAGGATAAAACATTGATAGTATTTAAATCTTAATCTCTGACATTATTTCAAATATAATTTTCACATATAATAAACAAATAGATTATTCTAAAAAAATTACCCATCATAGTTGAGATTTTCTTCTGCTGAGGAGTCCCATAATAGGATGAAACGGCCGTCCAGTGCTTCCAGGTTTTCGATGGTGGTCTAGCTTCAATTGACTCATGATTTCAACTGTGAAAATACTAAATTCTCCACAAAACCCCCTCTGATTTTCTTTTATCACCAGTGTTATTGCTAAACAATTCATTCTAATTCACAATGATATGTAATTAAATCTTGAACGTTACCTATTTTTTTCATAATATTCTTGTCAATGTGTCACTAAATACATCAAATAATTAATCATTCAACTAAGTACAGGGCTCTCGATAGTGTAATAGTTTGGGGTGTTGCTTACGAAAGTGAGAGGACGAAGAGCGAATGTCCGGCGCTTTAACCGGGTTGGTGCACATCGAGGGGCCACCTAGGGGAGCTGGAAAACCCTCATTCCAAACCAATGGTGCACATGGGCTCCAGTATCCTGATGGAACGAATGGCGAATGAACCTATTGTTGGTCAACGACTACCATGGGACTGCATCTCCTTACGATGCTCCACTGCCTTGTGGGTCAGACCTTCCGGTCAAAGGCTCCGGGTGTGGTCCCCTAAGGAAACCACTTACTTCAGTCTGAGCACATGGGCAGTATCACAAATCTTATTTGATTTGTGAGGCGCATATTTATCTGGTGCTTCCTTGTACCAATATTTATGTGTTTAAATAAATAAATAAATAGCTTGACACTTGTTCGATACTGAGTACTATTCATTGTGTATTAAATTAATTATTCATCTTGGCAACTTGATAATCCTTTAATCTTTTCGAATTGATTCCACATTTTTTCTTAACAATTGTTAAAGTCTAGTATCATTTAGCATGTATATTGAGTTTCCCTTTTTGCTTTCATCAGTTATTAATATATTTTCTTCTAATTTATATAAAAAATGATCACCCTTCATTCTTTAGAATTGTCAGTGTTATTATTAGATTAGTTCCATTGTTTATCTGTTTATTTATTTCTTTTATTTCATACTTCTTATTATTCTTTAAGTCACTTAATGGAATGAACCGATATGTAAGAATCCTTAGCCATTTTTATATTTAAATTGTCGCTAACTGATTTTTCTTCTCATTCTATTTATTAGTTTTTCTCTTCTATTCCCTGCGTTGTGTGTGTGTTTAGAGGGAGGGGGAGGTTGGTGACCAAGTGGATATACTAGGCATTTAATTACTATAAAGCGTGTATAACAAAGATGAACATAAACAGGTATGTTCTACACACATACACACACAAGAAAAAACCGTTTTCATACTATCTAAACACTAAAATTATTTATCGAAACAATAACCAGACAAAATGTAAGTGCACTTACATATATATCCTAAGAATTAACATATTAAGTAGTTGTTTCCGTCGTCTCAAGTTGTCAAGATACTTTATTTTTATTCTTTTGTTTTTTAAAAAAAGGTATCTCTAGGTAATGACACTTCAGTTATAGAATAAAACAAGAAATTCAACTTCACTTCTTTCAATATTTGCATTTTACATTCTTTATTTATGTATTTAAACAAAAACATTTATATAAAAGGGTTAATGGATTAACTATCATTTCTTTAAAGCCCATTATCTATATTATAATTACTACATGTAATGCTCTTATATATATATACATAAGTTTGTAAACTTAGTTAGGGGACGAATATAGAAACCCAAAGATTATGATGAATGGTACTGTAAAGAAAAGAAATTCCAGACAGAGTAAGAACATATCTTAAAACAAAGAATGATATATATATATATATTTATTTTTTGAATCATTATTTCTAATTTAGTTGCATACTGTTATTGGAATATGTATAGAATGAGGGCGAATAAGTGGGAAGCAGTGGTAGTGTTGGGGTGGTGGTGGTGGTAAAACAGATGTCTAGATATTTATTAAAAATACAACAACTGAATCTTATATCCATCTGATTTACATACAAAGAAAAACGTAATTGAAACATTTGAATATAGATATACTGGAATGAATTATGTTGTGAATCATTTATAATTTCCTTGTCAATACAGTAAGATGCATACTTTTCAGTTTACTATGGTTTCGTGGGGTTTTTTGTGGAGATTGTAGTAACTTAATGGATGAATTCTTGAGTTAGTTTAAACTAGGCCACAATTGAAAACATGGTAACACTGGATGGCCGTTTTATCCTAGTATAGGACTTATCAGTAGTGCTCATCCACGGTTTCGGACATGAGACCATGGATTGATTGAAGTTAAACATTAACACTATTGGATGCCGGCTCATTACCGAAAAGTTCAAGCGTTCGTGAGCAAGACCGAAGGTCCTGGATTCGAGTCCTGCATATGGGATCGTAGATGTATATCGTTGGGGATTCTCCTACTAGGATGAAACGGCCATCCAGTGCTTTCAGGTTTTCAACTATGGTCTAGCTTAGATCGACTCATGAATCTAACCATTATATTTTAATTGTTGTATTCATAAACTGTTTATGATACAATATACCATATGATATAATATTTAGCAAATAAACGAACACTAATCTAGTGTTTCAATTCAATAATTTTCCCCCTGACATCAGTTCTTGATGTCACTAACTTCTAGTCTGAGCCATATTGATAGATGCAGACTACTTGGTTGGAGTCCGCGTGACTATCGTAACTAATAGTAACTACTTTTGTAAATTTGGTGTTGATCTTGTTGTGCTAATGAGGTATGGCAACTTGAACCGATGCATGTATGTACCTGGTCTTACGCTGTAACTGACTGAATTTTCCCTCTGATATGTAATAAACGAAAGATGAATATTTCAGTTTTACTCATTCTTTAATAAAACAAACACAGCGAATAGAATGAAAAAGGTAAATGTAAATATTAAAATTCAATCTGGAAATGTTACCATTGATTCTTTTTCAAATCGTCAATGTTAAATTTTTTTATCAGAAGGGGATTTTGTGGAAATTTTAGTAATTTCATATCTCCCAACACACATGGTTAAATTCCACTGGTTACTGTTTCTAAATGTGATAGGTGCTAGGTTCGAATCTCGTGAGAGTGGGATCGTGAATGTGCACTACTAAGTAGCCCCAAAATAGAACGAAAGAGCCGTCTAGTGCTTTCAGATTTTTTCCATAGTCTAGCTTCAATTAACTCATGATTTCAACTATATATCTTATATGTTTAGTTATACAATCCATCTAAAATTATATCAATATCTTGACTTGCCACTAATTAATCAAACAAATTTTTGTCATTTGATGATGATGGTGATGATAAATTCAGTTAAAAAAATTTCACGAATGGATTGTGTTAAATTAGAATTCTTATGGATGGATGGATGGATGTAGGTAGCATGTGTATTCCTATACTTTTACACATTACCATTATTATTATTATTATTATTATTATTATTATTATTATTATTATTATTATTATTATTATTATAACATGTAAAGTCTGTACGCGATCACTTTTTTATTTACCTAATTGACTTCATTAATTTTATATTTGACAGACATGAAAATTAATCATTATTTTTTCATTATGTGAAACAAACACACACACACACAATTCTAACGTATATAAACAAAACCACCCCACCCCCCACACACACTCTGATCATTCAAGAGATGACTTGTGTTTTTTTTCACACTTGAATTGTGTGAATTCTCCTTTGAATGATGATTGTTTTCTTACAAGATCAATTGTACTTGTTATCACCATTATTATTATTATTATTATTATTATTATTATTATTATTACTAATGTTGACTTCATTAAGGAGGATATACTTTCCTGTTTATTTTTTTGGATTGTTTATATTGATGATCTCGTTGATAATCTTCATTAATGAAGTTTCATTGATTATTCCTACCTTTAATGATGTCATTCAATTGACTATTCAAATAATTACGTAATAAATAATGAATAATGTAAGACATTACAGGTCAAGATTCTTTTTTTTTTTTTTTGAAAAAAAATAGAGAAAAGAAAAAGTTATTACGTAATGACAATAATAATTAATAAATTTCAATTGATTTATGATGTAATAATTATTGATACTTGAATAGGAGAAGGGAAGTTTCAACGAATAGCTCTCCCTTGTTTGTCTAGTTCGTTTAAGTTAGATAGTTAGTTAGTTAGATCACTTGTTAATCGATGAGATCAAGTTCAATTGACTTTTTATTTTTAAAAACAGAAAGAACCTAATTGATCTCCAATATTGAGTCAAGTTTACAATTATTTACATATTAACCCAATTAGGTTTAGACAAGTAAAATGTTGGTTAGATTCTCATATATTGGTAATTATCGGTTATAGGTGAGATTCATTAATATATGATAATATAGACCATTCATATATTGTGTAAGATGACTGATGACTGAATATTCTATCCAATAATTATAAAACTTGAGGTAAGATGGTGGTTGGAGGTGGTCAACACCATCCAGTGATCAATCAATTGTGATTACAGCTCAGTCCTACAGGAGGTCGGTCACGGCCCGAATAGCTCAGTGGTAACGTCTCTGACTGTGAAGCTGAGTGACACGGGATCGAATCCGCCAGGGAGTATCAGTTCCCTCAAGATTACAGGTACACCTTGCTGATGAGTGCCAAGTAGCACAAAACCCGGGTCTAGGGTTTCCTGTTGACCACCTCCAACCACCATCTTACCTCAATATATATATAGTGCATGTAGTGTCGAGCCACCTAGACTGGTGGCCAAATTGCAACTCGATCGATAGCATTCGATTAGCACTAAGAAGGACCTGACACGCATGACATTGATCACCACCCAGTGATCAATCAATTGTAATTATAAGACTTGTATACCTTAACCAGTTTATAGACATTTATATTTGACTTCAAATTGGTATAATTATGTTGAATATTACTGTTATGTAATAGTCTACAGTAATTTATTAAAATTGACTCAATTAGTGTAATTAATGATTCAACTAATTTTAGAAAATTCTTATCATTATTCACTTGATGTTGTATAATTGTATCTTCTCATTGTTATTTAGGACTGTAATTAATCAATATATGTGCATCCTGTGCGGGCTGCTTCAGTATTACCTTAAGTCACAAGTATTCTAAGCAAAGATGGATACTGGCTAGCAGTGGAATCTAGGACTCCCGTTTCGACTCCGTAGTTAAGTGGATAACGAAATGGTGTTTGAAGCGAATGGTACTGAAATCGAGTCACAGAGTGAACATCAACTCTGAGATGCAGGTACATCCATCTGAGGAGTCCCAAACAGGACGAGACTCGCGTCCTGGTTTCCACTGCTAGCCACTATCCATTTTTGCTTATAAAATCTTATCCTCCGCGAGAGGTGATAGGTGTAAGTAAATTATCATTCGTTTGTTATTATAAAATTACTTTCATCAAATTCCAGTTACGTCCCGTTATCTGACTTCAATTAAATTGTATGAATATTACTGAAATACACATGCCGGTTATCCTCGTATATATAGTTATCGAATTAACCCACGTTAGTGAATAAAGGAATTAAATAAACCGAATGCGATAGTGGATTTTGAATATGTATATTTCATGCACTCATTGATTTGAACAGGAAATCAGAAAGATGAAAGAAAGATGGAAGAGCAAAGCAAATTGAAGGAGCGAAGAGAAATGATGTACCAACTCGATTTAATCAAGTGTTAATCGATATTTATGACCGAACAAAAATAAGTTACAGACATGTGATGAGTAAGATAAGAAATGCACATACATACTCTTACATAAAAACAGTCAAAGTTGATAAGCGGATAATTAACAAGGTCAAAATGTAGTTTGAGAAGAACAGGTAAATTGATTTATCCAGAAGCTGGAATAAGCTATAGGGTTTCGATATAGGACCAACCACTACAATACTACAGGATCTCAGACAGTTGTGTATCGATCCAGATTAGGTTATGGTCACATAGATTTATTAAAAGATTGAAATATTTTGGGCGATCATTTACCATATATTACAATGGAACTTAAAAAATGAATGATATCGTTTGGGCATAACCGAAATCATTGCTAAACAATATGATGTTTATTTATTTAGAAGGGGATTTGTGAAGATTTCACTATATTTCAAAGTTGAAATCATGAGTCAGTTGACGCTAGACCACCATCGAAAACCTGGAAGCACTGGACGGCCGTTTCGTTCTATTACGGGACTCCTCAGCAGTGCGCACCCGCGAGATTCGAACCCAGGACCTACTAGTTACGAGCCAGAGCCCTTAACCGATAGACCATTGAGCCAGCAACCAACGGATCGTGGGTGCGCACTGCTGAGGAGTCCCATAATAGGACCAAACAGCCGTCCAGAGCTTCCAGGTTTTCGATGGTGGTCTAGCTTCAACTGACTCATGATTTCAACTTTATTTATTTACTTAATAGAAAATACCAATTCTGATTAATTTTTCATATGCCTTAATATTTAATGTCGTGAACGGTGGCTCAATTTCATGGATTGATTGAAGTTAGACATTAACACCGTTGGATGCCGGCTAACTCAGTGGTCTAGAGGTTAAGCTTTCGCGCGCGAGACCAACATGTCCTAGGTTCGTGAGTGCACACTTCTGAAAAGTCCCACTCTTTGACGGAACGGTCGTTCAGTGATTCCAGGTTTTCAATTATAGTCTAGTTTAGATCAACTCATGAATTAAACTATCTAATAAGACTAAAATCTTCACACACACACACACACCCCTTCTGACTTAATATTTTTGTCTATCCAAAGAAAAACAGCTGGTATTTATTTATTTCTATCTACCCATCTATGAAATGTTAATAAATAAGTTACATTTTCATTGAATAATCATCATCATTATCATCACCATCATTTCACAGGTGTGTTTTTTGTTCCCCTATTTCCCCCCTTTTTTAATATAAAAAAGAAAAAAAAAACAAATTGTTTATTGTTTATTGTTGCACATTTTGTGAATTGTAATCATCATCATCATTCATTCACTCATTCACAATATCAGATACTACAAAAATAGTATTTTCCATGGGAAAAAGATAAACAAAAAAAAAATATTAAAGATAAAAACTTATAACAGATGTGATTCAATCACAAATTATACTTAATCAAATTGTTTAACCCTCACCCCTTTCTGATATTATTAGTACAAGAAGGAAGGGGGGCGGGAGTTGGAGCACTAAATACATATACGCCAAATAATAACAATCTAGTCAATAGATAATATTAGTTATCATTGATTTATATATATGAGTGTTGTGATATTGGCCGGGTGCCCAAATATATGAAATAGACTTGAAATAAACAATGTGTAATCATTACAATGGTATACTTTAGTTAATTAAAATGATAATGTGTATTATTTTTTTTTGTATGTCTGAATATTGATTGTCTAAAGGTCAGAAAGGGGGAAAAAACTGTCATATTATAAGAGCCATTTTAGGTTTTAATTATTATTATTCATATATTGTTAATGTATTATGTATTGGTACATTATAAACAACATATGCTCACTAGTGACTAGCTTCAAGAGGTATTTCATGGAGTTATAGTGAGAAGCAGTGACCAGTGAAGTTCAATCAAGTCTGTTTTAGAGATAGTAACTCACTGAAGACAATGGTGGATGTGTCATTAAATTTCGTGGATTGGTTGAAGTTAGACATTAACACCTTCAGATACCGGTTCAGTTGTCTAGAGGTTAGGCACTCCTGTGCGAGAGTGATAGATCCTGGATTCGAATTTCGTGAGCCGAATTCGTGAGAGCGAATTGCTGAGGAGACACACAATAGGACAATGGTGGTCTAACTTCAATTGACTCTTGATTTCAACTATATAAATTTATAACGTTTATGTTTATTTTTCTTTTACAATTTAGATCCAGTAAAATCGGATTATATACCTGATGAATTAGCGAATAATATTATCACCTTGATTGATTGTTTAGATAATGATGAAGGTAAGTTTATTATCACTATCATTTCTTTCTGTTCGTTTAATATTTAAAAGTTTTTAGACTTAAATAGTTAATAGTGTCGAAGAAAATCTCATATGTCTTTACTATTTACACTATTGAATACTTTTTTATTTTAAAGAAGCTAGTGTACAATGATAAGTTCCATTTTATCGACTGTTCAACAATGATATGTAGTATCTCGATTTGATAGATCCATGATCTATACTAACAAAATCCAAATTGTTGATCCCTATGTTGGTTATCCACTAAATCCTTTCTTCGATTCAATTACACCGTTGAGAACTTTGCCTGTTGTTGACAATTGTTTGATGCCTCTGTCTTTCTCGTTGTTATCAAGATCTACTTCCTTTGGTATGTTGATGAGGAATCCCTCTTTTCTGTCTGTCAGCATTTGTTTCTCATCCCATATCTTTTTTCGTTGTTTCAAACAATAATCCGGTGATTTGATCAGAGTGATAAGATTTCATCATATAAGCTATTTTGGTGTTTCTGTAGAGAGAGTCAGTGACACTCGTTGTTTGTGAAGCATTTTATTTTTGACGAATAGAATACTACAGTATCTCTCCTAAGGTTAGATTTTCTATCTAGATTGTGTCCGATGGGTATCATTTATTCTAAGCACTGCTATGTTGTATGTGATTTGTGGAGTTTTTTGTATATTCCACCTGATCTCCAACATTGTTCGGACGTTCCATGTACCTAGATGGATTTTTTCTATGACTATCCAAAGATGGAGTCATCTTAATGACCCCTAGAGATTTTCGGCTTTCATCATAAAGCATCTTAACTCCTCTATCTGAAAACTGTCCAACTCGCAGAGTAGAGTTTAGTACGTTTTGTTGCGGGCACTTTTACTGAGTTGGGTTGTAAACTCCTTACCCAACACTTCTATTTAATCCGTTCTTGGAATCGACTGTAGCACGAATGTTTCCAGGAGGCATTATTACAAATAACTCGAGTACATTTTCTTTTAAAGATTTGTTTAAATATTTGATTATTTTAAAATTTTAGCTTGTTCTGTTGAAGGATTATTCCGTAAACCTGGACATAATTTACGTAAACGTCAAATACAAGAAGCTGTCTTTGAAACATCATTTGATCCGAAAGTATTCCAACTGAATAAATATAATTTTCATGATTTTGCAAGTGCATTAAAATCAGTCTTGGTTCGTTTACCAACACCATTATTTACAGAACATTTATTACCATTATTTTTACAAGTAGCTTGTAAGTATTCTTCATTCTATGATTTATGTATATGAGATTTATTTATTTAAACACATACATATTGGTACAAAGGGGCACTAGATACATACGTGCCACACAAAACAGTGGTGAGGGGAACTGAAATGTACAACCAGAAGAACTCTCAGTTAAGGAGGTTATAATCACTTTTTATGCAGAAAGTAAAAAAAAAGGTTACAGCGGGATCGCCATTGACTTCCATTCTGAGCCATATCTGATAATGTCTCTAGCAACTGTGTAGCACCATCTCGGACCCCAACCAGGGAGTCGTGAAGGACCAACAGAAGCTATCCCTTTGCAGCTTTCTTTCATGCCACGACACCATGTCATACACTGGCCTCCTCTCCGCTTTTTCCAACCAGTCCTAGAGTCGGAAATTAATACACGACGTGGAAGTCTCTGGGACGACATTCGTAAAACATGTTCAGGCCACCGAAATCGATGTTTCAAGATAGTGACACCAATTGTGTTGTCGTCTCTGCGCCCGAACACAGGATGTCAAACCTCTGCATTACTAACATGGTGTTACCACTGGATGTTAGCAATCCTTCAGAGACAATGATGATCGAACACAGAGAGACGTCTAACATCCTCAACTCGGAGAGGCCAGGTTTCACAAGCATAGAACGAAATTGCTCTTACCGATGCGTTGTAGATCCGACCTTTTACAGCCAGACTAACATCACGAAGATAAGATGATCTCTTCCAGATTATTTGTTTATTTATTTTTCGGTTATAGTAATAAGAGATAAAACAGTATTCACTCTTCCTTCTCTTAAAAGATCATAATTAGTTTTGTTTCCATGGTTTTACAGGTTGAATTACCTTTATGAATCATGTCTCAACCATAAAAAAAACCATTTTACTCACTATTCAGAAAGACATTATTTATGATTAGCTTAAACTGTTCATTCTAATAGTCAAATTGAATAGATTCAAACAGACTGAACTAATTCGATTTATACTTCAATCTCATTAACATTTAGTATCCGGTAAAATTTATTACTCATCTAAAAGAGCTCTTACACCTATATTTATGATCAACTTATTAGCCGTTAAATTTAGTATATATAGGGGTCTGTCTACATGATTATCATAGATTCTGAACTATAAACCCTATAGATCACTTGTGCATAGAACTTAATCAATTTACTCATGACAATTGCTTAATGTCATACAGGGGGAAAAATCAATGAATGAATGGTGTATTGGTATTCTTCGTTTATTTGATGGTTTGTAAAATTATTTTTGAGAATTTACAAGTACATTTTGATCAGGATTACATTGGGTTAGGATTTACGTTAGTTACTAATATAATGAATGAATAGAATAAGAGGAACAAATGGTGTATCAATTGAGAAGACGGGAAGCGAATGTTCGATGCTTTAACCGTGTCGGTGGACTCGGAGGGTACACCTAGGGGAGTTGGAAAACCCCTATTACAAACCATTGCTGCACATGGGTTCCAGTATCCTGAGGGAACAAATGGCGTGTGAACCAATCGTTGGTCACCGACTACTATGGGATTGCACTCTTCACAATGCTCCACTGTCTTGTGGATCAGACTTTTAGGTCGAAGACTCCGAGTGTGGCCTCGTAAGAAAACCACCTGCTTCAATTTGGGCACCTGAGCAGTATCACAGTCCTCACACAAATCGAATGAGATTTGTGTGGTGTATACATATCTGGTATCCGTTTGTAGCAATATTATATGTTTAAATAAAAAAAAGAGAACAAATAGGTAATAATTATATTGATTATAACCAACCAAAACATATCTCGATATTCGATTGCTCGAGAATATTGGGTTGATTATAGCCGATAAGTATATTTTTAAATCCAAAACTTGCAAACAATCATTTCAGTTAATATTATTCTTTATTTTGATATAGTTTTGTTCTTTGAGCTGAATGGTTTAGTCATGGAGCTTTCACCACAGAAGACTTGTACCTGAAGTTTGTGCTGATGAAAGCTTTACAACCAAACCATCCAGTTCAGAGAACAATACTATATCAAAATCATCCACTTGAGCTACAAATCTCATCTCAAGATTCTTTAGTTTGATATTTCTTATTTGAAATCTGTTTAAAACTTTAAGAAATTAAAGTTAGAATTGTAAACTATCAGTCAGTCAGTCAGCTACACTGTAGGCCCAGGCACATATATGCATTACTCTAAGTTGCCATACCTCATTACTACACACAAGATCAACATCAACTTCATAGAAGTATATAAATGTATTTCATTTGATAGATTTAAGAATAAGAGCTATAGAAATGAAATTTTAAATGACTATGCACACACACACACATACACGTAAATATCATTTGAGATTATGTTAATGAATACACCTTCAATTGTTATTCACACTTCCTAATTATAAACGATATCCACCATGTTAGCTTATCATTGTTAGTTAAATGTGACAAGTACTATTATTATTATTATTATCAGTAGTATTATTAGTAGTATTAGTATTGATCAATTAACTAATGATAATGATCCATTGAGTAAATAATTATTGTTGTTGTTTAATATATAACCAAAATGATAGTCATTCATTGACCTAGTTACTAAACTTTATAGATATGTCAATCGTCATTCTTTTTATTTGTATAAGTCATACATAATGGTTGTCATAAAAATGTAAATGTAATTTACCTTATTGGTTTATTGATTTTCTCCTTTTTTTTGTGGTTTTTCTTTAATGAATTCAATGATGCTTACTGATAATTGTGAAACTATTGATATGGGAGACATAGTAGTATATAAACACGATATGACACTTTAGAACACAATAGACATTCGTGTTATAGATAGTTCACATTGTTCTTCATGTATATGTATATTAGTACAATAGACCCCATACATATTGTATAGAATTATAATGATAGTTCTATGCATATGATAATGTGAATGTTTTTTATAATATTTATCTTGTAAGCAATGATGAATAGTGACTAGCCATGGAATACAGTTGAATGCGTGTTTCGTCCTATTTGGGACTCGTCAACTGGATGTGTACCTGTTTCTTAGAGTTGATAATCACTCTGCAATTTTGTATTATACTATACTATATCCTTATATACAACCTTTATTTTATATATTACCACCACTAAATTAACTACTATGAATCCGGTGTTCATCATGTTGTGCTAATGGGCGAGGTATGACAACTTGAACCGATGCATATAGGTGTGCCTGGTCGTACGTTGTAGCTGACTGACTGCAATTTGTAGTACTAAATAACAATTGAGAAGATATAAGTAAACACCATCAAAGATATTCATCTTCTTTTAATGAATATTTATCTAATTATAATAAAATAATGAGTTATATAGTATTCCCTGTTCAATCCGTTAGCCATAGAGTTAAATCATACACCATAGTTACCAAATTGTAAACAGTTAGTATTGATGTTAGGCCACCATTGAAAACCTGGAAGCACTGGATGGCCATTTCGTCCTATTGTGGTACTCCTCAGCAATACATAAACAGGATACCACTCCCAGGATTCGAAGCCAGGAACTTCGGTCTTGCGCGTGAACACTTAACCTCTAAACCACTGAGCTGGCCAGTATCCAACGGTGTTAATGTCTGAAGTCAATCAATCCACAAAATCAAACGACCATCTTTCATTGTCAGAGGTCTGTCTCTACTTGACATGGAATAGCTTCACTAGTTACTGCTTCTCACTAGAACTCCAAAAATCCCCTCATGAAATTAATCACTAGTGAGCATATAGCAATTACCAACATGGGGATCTAATATCAACTGGATTCCACTGCTAGCCACTATCCATCTTTAATTATAAAGCTTGTGACTTCAGACAATATCGAGGCAGTCCTCACAGGATGTACATATGCCAACAAGAGACTGATAAATGGTAGTCCTAAACATCAATTTGGAATATCCAAACAAACAATATCAAGTAAAATTAAACTTCATCCTATTGCACAAGCAAGTGGTTATCAGGACTTGGTAGCTAAGTAGATAACGTGATAGTGTTTGAACCGCAAGATACTGGATTCGAGTCTCAGATTGAATATCAACTCAGAGATGCAAGTACATCTAGCTGACTAGTCCTTTATAGGACGAAGCGCGAGTTTAACTGGATTCCACTGTTAGTCACTATCCATCTTTGTTTATGAGCCTTGTAATTTCAGGTAATATCGGAATAGTCCACACAGGATACACATATACCAACAAGAGACTAATCAATTACAATCATAAATAACAATGGGAAGATACAAGTTAATGATTACTACTTCTCACTAGAACTCGTAGAATTCTCTCATGAAGCTAGTCACTAATGAGCACATGGCAATTATCAACATAGGGTTGTGAAGTTTCAAATTATGAATCAGTTAGTATTACATATACTGTTAATGGTTTTGCTTGTTTATTTATTCATTTACATGTATAGTAATCATTATTATTATTTATTCTTTTTTTTTACTATATTTTAGCTTTAAGAAAATTTGAACAATTTCATAATCATAATAATGATCATCAAGTTACCATGGCAACTAATTTATTAAAACAACACCACCAACAACAACAAATCAATTCACCAGCAATCAATGAAATTTATTTAATCAATTTAATTGAAAGTAAACAAATTAAAGCATTACGTTTATTAATACAATTATTACCAAATACAAATATGAAAATATTAAAAAATTTAATACAATTATTAATACGTGTTAAAAATTTAAATCATATTAATCGTATGACAAGTACATGTTTAGGTACAATATTTGGACCAGTATTATTACCACAAAATATATTATTATATGATACAATTAAAAATATTAAAGTAAGTTTAGAAAAGTTTTTGTCTTGTGATGGTTTTAGTTGCTAGGTGCTCAAACCGGAGCCATTGATCTAAAGAGGTCTGATCCACAAGAGCAATGAAGCATCATGTGGAGATACAGTCCCATAGTAGTCGGTGATCAATGATTGATTCATACGTTATTTATTCCCTCAGGATACTGGAGCCCATGTGCACGATTGGTTTGGAATGAGGATTTCCCAATTGCCTTAGGTGGACTCATCGTGTCCACCAACACGGTTAAAGCGCCGAACATTCGCTATTGGTCCTCTGAATTTTGTAAACAATTGTAATGCCATGAAAACGGATTTAGTAGGACTTCTCTATCAGAGGTTATATACATGTGGCTATGTGAGAGTATTTGGAGAGCGAGAGCGGACTCTTCTCACTCTTTGCTGTAGCAAGGTATTTGGGGGGCGATTATATATAATATATAATTTTAATTATCATGTAATTTTTATACATTTTGAACAAACTTTAAGATCCATAAGTTATTGATTATCTTTGAAAAAATAGGATTCCCAGCATACAGAACATTTTAATATTGAACGAGCTAAAAGACTAAAAATTAATGTTTATAGAAATTTGATGAATATAATAATAATCATATGCTCGCTAATGACTGGCCTCAAGAGGTATTTCATGAAGTTAAAGTGAGAAGCAGTGACTAGCGGAGTTTAACCGGGTCTCTTGTGAGATAGTAACTCACTGAACACATTAGTGAATACATTAGTGTAGCCCCCAAATCCCCCGGTACGGCCGAGAGTGGGGAGATTCACCTCTCCCTCTTGAAATACCAGCGAATATATAGCCTCTGCCAGGGACGTCCTACTCACTGCCTTTCCGTGGCGAGGGTGTTGTTTACGAAAGTGATAGGACGAAAAGCGAATGTCCGGCGCTTTAACCGGGTTGGTGGACATGGAGGGTCCACCTAGGGGAGTTGGGAAACCCTCATTCCAAACCAATCGTGCACATAAGCTCCAGTATCCTGAGGGAACAAATGGCGTACGAATCAACCGTTGATCACAGGCTACCATGGTACTGCATCTCCTCACGATGCTCCACTGACTTGTGGATCAGATATTCAGGTCAAAGGCTCCGGGGTTGGCCCCCTAAGAAAACCACCTGCTTCAGTTTGGGCAACTGGGCTGTATCACAGCCCTCACACAAATCGAATGAGATTTGTGAGGCACATATTTATCTGGTGCTTCCTTGTACCAATATTTATGTGTTTAAATAAAATAATAAATGCTCAATTTCATGGATTGGTTGAAGTTAGACATTGACACCGTTGGGTACCACCGATTCACTGTTCTAGACGTTCAGCGTCCGTGCGCATAAACCGATAGGTCCTGGATTCCAATATCGTGATACGATATCGTGATTTCGCACTGTTGAGTAGTCCCATATTATGACGAAACGATTGTCTAGGGCTTACAGGTTTGCCATGGTGGTCTAGCTTCAATTGACTCATGAGCTCAACTAGTAAATTACAATATTATACACATTAGACTGCCTTCATTAGAATAAAGGAAACTCCTTAATAAACATGTACATCTTGTTCATTATTTCATCTTTAACTAATGGACAAGTATCGACTTAGTCAAATGGATAAAACACTAAAAGTATTCAAACATCTTTTTTTATTATCATCATCATATCTCCGTCTTAAAATATATTTTCTCCTTTATGTGTGTTACCATGACAAATTGAATATGGAGAATAGAATTTAATCAATTTTTTTTTTCATTTTTAAAAAATCATAACACAGTAGGTAACTTGTTTTGTTCAATAAAACAATACAATTTCTTACATGCTGTGTTACATCTTGTTGTTGTTGTTGGCGTATAGTCTGAACATATACCATACCCTATGCCTTATCTGATAAGACAATCTGAATGTTATCAATTATGTTCTTGTCAAAAGACTTTTATTATTATTATTATTATTGTTCTTATGACCATTATTATTATAGTTGAAATCATGAGTAAATTGAAGTTAGACCACCATGGAAAATGTGGAAGCACTGGACGGTCGTTCCGTCTTATTATGGGAATCCTCAGCAGTGCGCATCCCCGATCTTGCTTCGCAAGATTCGAACCCAGTACATATCAGTCTCGCGCGCAAGTTCAACCAGGTCTGTTTTGAGATATCAACTCACTGAAAACAATGATGGATATGTCACTGAATTTCGTGGATCTTTTGAAGTTTGACATCGACATCATTGAATGCGAGCTAAGTGGTCTGGAGGTTAAGCGCTCGCATTCGAAAATGATAGGTCCTGGTTTCGAATGTCGCGATCTGGGATCGTGGATGCGCACTGCTGAGGAGTCTCACAATAAGACGAACCGGCTGTCTAGTGCTTCCAGGTTTTCCGTAGTGGTCTAGCTTCATTTGACTCATGATTTCGACTATAAAAGTACTGAAATCTCCACAACAACCCTTCAGATAATATTATTATTGAGATGTTAATAGTTCAAGAATCGACATCTGAACTAAACTATATCTGATTATACTTTTTTCTAACTTGTACAGTTAAAGGTCATAAACCTTTCACAAACTCACCTGAATAGGTTGTGCAATTCATTGATATAATGATGTGTTGAAACAAATATGGAAACAGATTACTTGTTGAAATATCTAGATGGTAGGAATAGGTAATCCAGATATTCAAGGAGGCCTCCAAGTTAATTATTATTATTTCACTATCTTATACTAATATCTGTTCATTATTGTTCTCTTTTTTCTTATGCACATATTACATTCTCATTGTTATCATGTGGCGCATATGTACTTGGTTCCCCTTTTGTACCAATATTTATATGTTCATCAGTTTAAGTTAATACACCAGGCTAGTACAGTGAAATGAAATGGTCAATTGAATCCCCGAATAATGGAAATAGTAATAGTATTACGGCTAATATTGTTACTACCACATTCAGTACTGATCAAGTTGAACTATACAGATCGTAATGATGTTGATTATGATGCTACTCATGAACTATCATTGGCGATACATTGAAACTGTATAAAACAATTCAGTTAAACTCTATATCATTTGATCATATATCCATACTTACCCTATTTGTCTTATTTTTTCTTTATAGAATCATAAACAACCACCAATTGAATGTCAAGAAAAATGTCTTCAATTAAATTCTATCACAAGTTTATTAATTGAAATTGGTTTAGATATTTTCTTATTACCTTATTCATTGGTACAAGACATATGTACTAATAGTCCATACATGACAATATTCAAAACTGACTGTCATCCTTTACGTACTACTACTACTACGACGTCAACGACGACGAAACAACAATCAGTAGATATAAAAACTAATCGATTAACATTATTATTATCCCCACAATTTCGTCATCGAAATCATTTTCAAACATTAAATAAAGAAGATATCAAAAATATTGACAATTCACCACCATTAAGAACAGCTATTCGATTTGCTACACCAACACCAACAAGTATAGCTAATTTTCAAGTATTAGATTCATCACCTATAAAATTTGATGATATAATGGAGATTTCAAAAACACTTAAAACTAAACAACAATTAAAATTAGAAAATTGTATAAATCAAACACCAGTATTAAAATGGAGTCGATCCATAAGTGAAATATCTTCAGATTATATACAATGTTCTGTTGAGAAATCACAACAGAATGATGAAAATTTAAATATAACTTCTGTACGATCATCAAAGTTATCGAAAATATCGACCAATATAAATCATTTATCACCTTCAAAATATCCTAATTATACAAATGAACAATTAGAAGTAAGTTACAGTATTTTTGTTACATTATTATATATGTATATCAAACTATAAACCAGTTTGTACATAAAGACCAACCCAACCGTTGCTGCTACATTGATGTGATGGTCGGGCTTGCCTATCATGATGATTCAATCGAGCTATACTAGCTGTAAGAAACGTTCCTTAAGGTTCTACCATGCCAGACAGGTCGGTTAAGAAGCGGTAAGAGTAAAAGCAACAAACCCAAGGTCCGAAGGCGAAGTCGTACTGCTGACCGTACAGAGGTGTGATAGCAGTAAGGTGTTTTCTTCAGATAACTAGCGTAACAGCGATGCTGCCTTCCCACAAGGAGGGGTGGGGGTTAGAAAAGGTCAGTACTAAAAATGCACACCTCACCTTATTCCATGGATATCTGTCTCCGGCTGTAAGGTCTCAATAAGTATGTAGCTAACACAAAAATTACCCACAAAATGGTCGTGTGTGACCGACCTCAAGCAGTTGTCCCTTGGGCACATTATGTACATGTACAAGAGTTTTCATATTTTGATTGCCTAGTAAACTAGCATTATTCCAATAGTCTGTCTCTACAATTCACTTACCCGATTAATTGATTTTGATTGATTTTGTTTCATATGACGTAATTCTAAGACAATTTTGTTTTGTATACAAACAAAACAATCAAGTTAAATAGACTGAGAATAATAACAACATATTCTAGACATGATATAATGGATGAAAGGTCAAGTGTCTGTTGCCTTGGTTCTTCTAACTACCAGTTATATGTGAATTAGTGTATATACGCAAAAGTACTATATTACCATTCATCAAGGTCATTAAAATGACTATTTTGATCAGTTAGTATCTAATTTATTGTATCATGATGTATGAGATGAAACGATTATGTAAGAACTAATGTATACTACCATTTAAAATGATAAGTTGGTCAAGGTAGAAATGTCGTTTCTTTCAATAAAAGTTTAACTTATCCATCCATATCATTAAACACTTATACACATAAGGGAAATATACTCTGAGCTTATTTATTAATAACAATCAGATTAGTAATTTAGATCATCAGTCAATTGAAGCTAGACCATCCTGGAAAACATGTGTCGCACAATTTCATGGAACAGTTTAAGTTAGACATTAACACCATTGGATGCTGGCCAACTCAGTGGTCTAATGGTTAAACGCTCGCTCACGAGACTGATAGGTATTAGGTTCGAATCTCAAGAGGCGAGATCGTGGATGCGCACTACTGAGGAGTCCCACAATGGGACGGAACGCCCGTCCAGTGCTTCCATTATTTCCTTGGTGGTCTAGCTTCAATTGATTCATGATCTCAACTATAGAAATTACTTTAATATCCACAATAACCCCCTTCTGATAATAAAATTAGTAATAATTTTAGTCTTATTTACCTGCATTATAAGTTAGTTCATCTATTTCATTCTTATCTTTTAGGATATTTGTGTTGATAGTGTAAGACGAAAATTTATTAAAAGAAGACGATTCACTGAACTTCGTTTACCTTCAACTATAAATCGTACAGGTGGTGGTGGTGGTGGTGGTGGTAAAAGTTGTCATCGTCGATATTTATTTTCACCATGTCCCCCTATTCCTTTATTACCATTTAAACGTGTTGGTGGAGAAAAACGTAACTTTCATATTTCTCCATTATCTACTATAAAAGGAACCTTAACAACCAATACAGCTTTACCATCATGGTAATATCATATCATATCTGTATATTACACTGTCCTTGTACATATCCATCTTTATCAGATTTCAAATTCTTTAAACTGTGTTATGAGAAGAAGAAGAAGAAATGAACTTCATTAATCCTCTTTTATTCCATTCCGTTTTTTTTGTTTCCTTAGTTACTCATTATTTTATTTCATGTAATTTGTACAGATTTCTTTATTCGTTATATATTTCTTTTCTTGAATATACTACTGAATATACTACTGATTATTATTATAAAGAATGAATGAAATTGGAAAACCTAAACAGAGGTTAAATGAATGAATTAACCCATTCCATTATATAAATTCAGTCATATTATTTATAACAATTAGAAAATATAATATTATTAATTCTAATTAAAGTTGTTATAGATACAAGAAAGGTGTACGAAACCATGTCAGTCAGTTAGAACGTAGGATCAGACACATATAAACATCGGTTCAAGTTGCTATACCTCACTCATTAGCACAGTAAGATCAATACCAAATACATAAAAGTAGTTAATTTAGTGGTGATAACATATAAAAGAAACATTGTATGTAGCGATATAGTATAGAAAGAAAGACAGATATGAAACAATTTTAATCTCACGGTTTAACGGAAGACAGGGAGTGTAAACACTTACGCCAGTGTGATCGATTCTGAGCCATGTCACTCAGAGTCTCCAACCATTGATTACAATAATCACGCGGACACGCGTAGTCTGCATCTACCAACATGGTTCAGACTAGAATTTAGTGACTTCAAGCTCTGATGCAACGTTTTGGTTTGGCCGCCCCTAACTCTCTTCCAACCATCGCCAATACTAGTCGGCAAAACGCATCATGGTAATCGGTGTTCAGGCATACATAACATGTGCCCCAACCATCTTAGTGGATGAAGATTCATGACCTCAACAACTGATTCCCATCTAACCCCACTATTACATAGCCAGTGATCCCAGCAGATCGGAGCAATATTTCTAAGACATCTGTGGTCAAATACTAGTAGCTTACGAGTATCTTCTACTCTTAATGACAACGTTTCGCAGCCCTAAAATAGAACAGAGCGAACTACTGCGCAGTATACTCGTCCCTTAATTGATAGACGGAGATCTAGCTTTCTCCATTGGTGATATAAGTCAGCAAAAGCCAAACGAGCTTCTTGAGTGTGTGTAGAGGTTTCGTCAGACATCAACCTATTAGGGCTGATCAGACATTCCAAGATAAGTGAAGTTGAATAGAATAATAATAATTTAGATTTCAATTATTAATCTTATAAACTGAAGTAAACAGTAGTAATGGTATTTTTTCAAGATTATTTTCATTTTATGAATGGAGATTATTTTAGTATTATTGAAAACTGGGGATCACTGGAAGCTATTTCTTGTTAATATGATACATCCTAAGAGCGTACACATTCAACTTAAATCTCGAGTCCCTTTGGAATGTTCACATATCATCCACAAACTTCAATGATTTTTACTCATTTAGTTGTTTTACGTTCTTTGTCAACGTTTTATTTACTTATTTAAACACATAAATATTGGTACAAATGGGCACCAAATACATATGCGCGACACAAATCGAATGAGATTTGTGTGAGGGCTGTGATACAGCCCAGGTGCCCAAACTGAAGCAGCTAACCTGGAAGCACTGGACGGGACCACACCCGGAGCCCTTGACCTAAAGATCTGATCCACAAGTCAGTGGAGCATCGTGAGGAAATGCAATCCCATAGTAGCCGGTGACCAACGAATGATTCGTACGCCATTTGTTTCCTCAGGATACTGGAACCCATGTGCACGATTGGTTTGGAATGAGGGTTTCCCAACTCCCCTAGGTGGACTTTCCGTGTCCACCAACATGGTTAAAGCGTCGGACATTCGTTTTTCGTCCTATCACTTCCGTGAACAACACCCCTGGTGCGAGAAGGCAGTGAGTAGGACTTCCCTAATTGAGGCTATATACGCGTGGTCATGTGAGAGGGAGTGCGGACTCTCCCCACACTCGACCGCTCTAGGGCATTTGGGGGTATAGATTAGGTATCCGAAAATGTTCATTGATTAGTTGTTATCTATAATCGTTTATTTATTTATACAAACTGATACAATATTGAATATAGATTTTCATCATACGAATAATCATATGTATCCATTTTGTTTAAAAGAAGATTGTATCTGGATTGTATCTGAATTAGATTTCCCCTACTCTTACATGTTCGGAAATCAAGTATTTAAAAAGAATTTAGTAGTAGTACTATAGCAACAACTAATTATTCAAAATAATTAACCATTTATTGTCAGTTATTTTTATTTTTAGTTGTTTGGTCTATTTTGTGAGATCTAACAAATGACACTGAACGTTCTACCATCTGGCGTAAAACAACAACGATGAACGATTATCGAATTCCAGGAATGTTGAGAAATATTACTGTATAGACTACCCTATTCATATAAAGCTGATGAATATGTATTGCCGGCTCAGTGGTCTATCGGTTAAGTGCTGAGACTTGTAGATCCCGGGTTCGAATCTCCTGTGACGAGGTCTTGGATGCGCACTGCTTAGGAGTACCACAATAGGACGAAATGGCCATCCAGTGATTCCAGGTTTTCTCTGGTGGTCTAGCTTCAATTGTCTCACTCTTTCAACTATGAAAATATTAAATCTCAACAAAAATCCCTTCTAATGAATATGTACTAACAATCGGTTACAATACGTTGGATCTAAAAGTTATGCAATTAATGTTGCCCAATATATTTAGTCTATATTTAGATTATCTTGTAGAAAATAATCAAAACAACTTAACTAGTGATAATTGCTAACGCTACTATTGACCTCATTTTAAGAGATTATTTGATTATTTCATGAGTACTACTCATTGTTTTCATAATCAGGTATCTGAAATTTGTATAACTTACTTATTACGTAATCAATTATCATTAGAAATCGTTGTTTATTTCATATTAGATATCATGAACGATGTAAGATTGAACTTGACTATATTTAGTTACTATGTCGAGTTGGTTAAATTAAATTTTGATTAGAAATCACTTTATTAAAATGAAATGTAACTTTTTTGTCTAGTCGTCATCATCCATGATTCTATTCACATTCATGATAATATGAATGATAATAACGGATAGAGATTTTCTACTCTTTTAATTAGAAACGATAGTTGTTATTTTCAGAAGGGGTTTTGTGGATATTATAGTAATTTTAATAGTTGAAATCACGAGTCGATTGAAGCTAGACCACCATGGAAAACCTGGAAGCACTAGATGGCCGTTTTGTCGTAATGTGGGATTCCCCAGTAGTGCACATCCACGATCCCATGTCATAAGATTCGAATCCATGACCTATCAGTTTCGTGCACCAGCGTAATAAACATGAGATATAATCCCTTTCATTTGATGATTAATCAATCATGGAGAATGATAACATTAAAAATTTAGCCGACCCAATGAAACAGTAGCATAATAGATAAATTATTTGGGTTTCAGTCTTTTCGGTTACACATTCTAGCGCTCCATCTACTTAGATTTTAATAGTTGGATCGGATCATGAGACTTTATATTGAAAGTATATTTAAAAACCGACGACACCAGTCAATCATCTGATAAATCAGTTGTACTAAGTAATCGTTAATCTTAACTGTTCTAACACTTGGAAGTCCTTTTCTTAAAAAAAAATTTATAACGCGAATTCCTACAAACGAACATCGAATAACGTAGATATTATATAGTATATAATATACCCTTATGGGCCAGGGTAATCTTTCACTGGTTTTCAGGAGAACCAGACACCATTCCGACTTTCATGCGCAACCCAAACATTACAGTTCAATCGCGTTTAACAGGGGAGCCAGACACTATAAAGACTTCAACGTTACAATCCGAACAGCTCAGCCCACTCCTGTGGCGCAACCACTCAGGTACCAAACACCCTGGTGGACCAAACGTAGATATTAGATAATGATAATGTGCATTCCAATTTATTAGTTTCTGGGGTCAGTTACATCTAAACAAAAAGTTTATTCAAATAAAACTGTACAAATGTAATTGTTCAACATAACAGCTTATCATTGTGGAGCTAATCCATATCAGGTAGAGATAGGTATCTACCTTGGACAATGAAAGATGGTAGGGTGATTTCATGGATTGGTTGAGACATTAACACCGTTGGACACCGGCCAGCTCAGTGGTCTAGAGGCTAAGCATTCTCTCGCGAGGTTGAAGTTCCTGGCTTCGAATCCTGCTAGTGGCATGGTGTATGTGCCCTACTAATGAGTCCCACAATGTAACGAAATGGCCATCTAGTGTTTCCAGGTTTTCAATGGTGGTCCAACATCAATCAGTTCGTAATCCCCGCGATCCCATACTGACTTTTTAAAAACAGTTTAATTATTTCACACAGTTATATTTACTCAATACAAATTTAATACATACTACAATACCTACTCTGTATCTTAATTTACTTTTTTAAACACTGCTATTTACTGACCGTTTCGCTGTTTTAAAATAAATATTGGGTAAATTCTAAGTACCCCCAAGAAAATTCTAGAATATTCTGCGCAACGACTTATCATTAGTGTTAATTTTACCCCATGATGCAATATATTGGGAAACTAACATAGATATTAAGAGTAATGTACGCGTTTCTCAACTATTTGTTAATTATTATCAGAATGGGTGTTCGTGGAGATTGCAGTAATTTTTTTTAGATAGCTGAATTCAATGGTCGATATAAGTTAGACTACTCTTGAAAAATTTGAAGCATTAGAAGGCCTCTTCGTCCCAATGTGGGATGCTTCAGCAGTGCACATCCATGATTCAACACACGGGATTCGAACCCTGGGCCTTCGGTCTCGCGTGAGAATGGTTAAACTATAAACTATTGAACTGACATTCAACGGTGTTAATGTCTAACTCCAACCAATCAACAATTTTGCACAATCGTCCATTATTGTCATCAGTGAGTAACTGTCTCATAATAAATATGTTTGAAATCCACTGGTCACAGTTTTTCACTAGATCTTCAGGAAATTCATCTTGAAGTCAGTCACTAGTGAGCACATGATGATTATTATCAGAATGGGAGTTTGTAGAGATTGTAATAATTCTAACGGTCAAGTCCATGAGCAGTTCCATACTAGGACGAAACATTCATCTAGTGCTTCCAGGTTTTCAATGATGGTTTAGCTTAAATCGACTAATGAATTCAACCATTAAATTTCGTTATACAATTGTACAAGTGTAATGTTAATTTTTTAAGTAATTACAAACTCTCGGACTCATCTAAATAGTAAGTTTGTTTAGAAGACATCAATTGAAATTTAAGGATCACTAGACAGTTGTTTTGTCTTGATATTAAATTGA